TATCATTATTATTTATTATATTAGTAAGTCCTTTGCGCAAGAAAATAGTCTGTCATATAAAACTGACCGGCCAAACGCATGGAACAGCATGTTATACCGTACGAATGAAGAGTAGAATGGACAAATGGTGATCTGACCTGTAAGGGTTGCAACATCTATTACAACTGATGGAGATAAAGAATCAGCATAGCACAGAGCATCTGCCAGTATAAGCCTCCCTTCAGCATCCGTATTATCAACCTATAGTCRTGCAAAAAAAAGTGAGTAAGTTTGAGCTCTTTTTATGAAAGATATTGTAGATAATCGTTAGGATATGTTTGAAAGTTACTATACAGCAGCTGTATTTACTAAGGAAGACCATGCACTGAGAAATTGTCCACTGATAGTCTAGTAGTAGAGAAACCAATCAGAGAGCGCGCTTGCCCATATCCAGTGATTGTGTATAATATAATAATGATAAGAAATAATAATAATATAGTCCGAGGGGCTCCAGGGGAATAAAAGAATACATCAAGATCATTATCTATTTTTTCCCCCACAGCCTCGTCTACAACCCTTTTGTACATGCTTAATAAACCAAACATCTAAAATCGACTATTTACCTCTATTGTTTTTCCATTCATCGCTTTAACCACATCTCCAGGTTTAACAGCATTTCCAGACACCATGTTCTCGCATAGTGGAGTTAAGACTGTAACATTGACTGGAAGATTCAATAGTGCAATGGCTTCAATGGCTGCACACACAGTTGCTGCACCAGTCATATCGGCCTTCATTTGTGCCATCCCAGCTGATGGCTTGATGCTTATTCCACCACTAAATACAYGAAACAACAATAACATCATCAACAGAATGRGGAACGCGAGTATAAAAGTTTCGGATGACGATGATATTTTGAGGCACTGTCATCATGTGCAATTTTCTCGGCGATTTMCTCATAACGGCTTTGTGAAACAAATTGCCAGGAAATTGCAGTGAAAAAGGACTTKTGGAGATGCTACAACCAATGMCAATATTGCGAAGAAAGTAACTGACGCTGCAAGTTSTTGTCGTACTTCACGCAACAATAAGAGAAATAATAAAGATGCTGTGCCAGCCCTGTTATACTGTACATTTCTCCACCAATTTATTTYGCTACAACAAAAAAGACAATAATCTAGAATGATAAACGGGGAAAAACTTACCTATCAAATGTAACACCTGAAAAAGAAAAGAAACGTTTTAAATATGACTTTATTTCTCCTCAAATAAAGTAATTCGATCATTTTAATAATATTTATGCTATTGTGGCGAGAACTCTTTGAATGATAAATACGTTTTTTACTGCTTTCGACACTGAGTAACGTATGTTCAAACATAGTTAACTATGGTTCAAAGAAGAAGCGACATGAAACTTCCTGCAACATTAGCCAATGGTTTTAACAAATSTTGAGCAGAAGGTATTTTTGACTATTTCGACATAGTTCTTTCTGTTCAAAGTTGAGGACTTCATATGTGAACATGATGACAAACTGACGGGCAAAACTTTAATCGGGACCAGCTCCGTTTAAAAGAAGTCACAATCATTACCTTTGCCAACAAACACAATTGGACTCTCTGAGGAATCAGATGATCCAGTGTATGTTATCTCCATAAACAGTGATTCTTCCGTTGAACCTTTACCAACACAGAGGAAAGCTTCCATTTTCATATTTCTTGCCCATTCTTCCCCTCTGAATATAAAAAA